TAATTGGGATGAATTTCTGTCACCTGTAGTATTTGCATATAATACAGGGACACATTCAACAACTCAATATTCACCATTTCAATTATTATATGGTCGAGAACCAAGATTACCTACTGATGGAAAAATATCTTCATTTACATTTCGTAAACCAAGTGATTATTATGAACAATTGAAGAAAAGTATGAAATTGATACACGGATATGCTCGTGAAAATATTATTCGTAAACAACAGCAGTATAAAGCTCAATATGATAAACAACGTCCTGATCCTCATTATGCAATAAATGATAGTGTTTTAATTAGAAGGCATGGATTAAAAAATAAATTAGAACCAAAATTTTCAACTACACCACAAAATATTATTCGTGCACAACATCCTGTTTATGTTGTTAGAGATGAAATAACTCAAGTTGAAACACAAGTGCACATAAATGATATTAGACCTATTTATATTCAAAATTAAATTGCAAAAAAGAAAACTTTTAAATAATAATAATCAAAACAAAATCAACAACACCAATTTTATTGATATTATATTCATATTTTTATTAATATTTTTTTTCATCATTTTTATTATTTATTGATTGATAAATATTTTTTATTAATGTTGGAAATGAATTAGTTTAATGGTGTTTATGTTAAACCAAATTAAACGTATGCGCAGCGATTGATATGGATTAACATTTATCATCTATGAATTGGATTAATTGATATTTTAAAATACGCGTATTAAAAAATCAATTTTATCATCAAATCCAAATGGAAAATTAATAATGATAATATTTACATTTAAAAAAAAAAAAATGATGAAAATGATGATGAGTCATCAATGGAAACTTCTTTAAAGGACTGTTTCTGAACAAAACCAATCATATTAAGTAGTAAATTCGTCTTTATGTAAATGACATCTATGGTCAATAGTAGATCACAAGAGAATTGTATTCAAAAAATGGATGACCAAGGGCTATTGGTCAATATCGTCTTCAAATAAAAATCTTTTATTCTATTTATTATTTATTTATTATTCATTTATTTATTCATTTATTATTTATCTACTTAATTAGATTATTAAGTGATCCACTTCAATTATCAATTAGTTTACTTAGTCATTTACTCACATTTAATCATCTTCATGTCCAAATCAAATTCATCATCTGGTTCTTATTATCAATCATCTCAACATTTATCATCTCATTCACATCGTTCATCGAATGCAAAACATTATCCAACATTTCATGTTCACTCGTCGGACTATGAATTAGTATTTATTAACAACAACGCATCAACAAATACGATGGAAAAATTATTAAATCACGTGAATACATGCAGACAATATGCAATAGACACAGAGTCTGAACGAACAAACAATCAATTATCATTGATACAAATTAATTCAATACCAATTGAAGCACCATCACATGTAATGTTATTCGAACTGAAGCACTTACCGGATCAACATTCACAAAAGTATGAAAAAATTCTTCAATTGTTTCGATTAATTTTTAGGTTGGACAATGAAATTTATTCTTGGGGAAACACGCAAAGGGAACTTGAACCAGCAAAAGACTTAATTATCTGGCCAATTCCTGCAACATTAATTGATATCCAACCATATTATTCAATGTGGTATAATTGGGCACGGACTCAGTGTAGGGTCCAGGGCCTGTCACATCGAAATGAGATGAATAATGATGAAAAAATTATACAACAACATCAACAACAATTATCATGTCATTGTCATCCACCATCACCATACAAAATTAATGAACTTTGGTCGCTTCAAAATGCATTTATGTATGGGTGTAAATTATTTATTGATAAATCATGTACGTTAAGTCACTGGTCATCAAGTTTAACATCAAGTCATTCATCATTATCGCATGCTGATCAAAAGAAGATGATCCATTATGCTACACATGATGTTATGGCTGTCACGTTTTTAATAAGACCAGTTACTGAAAAATGGACATTTGATAAAATTAAGACCAGGAAAATGAATAAAATGTTCGTTGCATTTAATTCAACTAAACTTCCACCATTACCAACATCAAAAAATAAAAAAATCAAGAACATCAACATGCAAAAATTCGCCACATTATTAAAGTGTAATGATCCAGAAGCAGAAGAAATTTCATCGGATGATGAGATATTTTTAAATCAACTAATTGAACCAAATGATTGTAAAAATGAACAAGATAACAAGAATAATAATGACGATGATAAAATTATTTTAGAACAAGATCAAATTGAACCAATTGATGATGATTATACACCGGTTAATAATAATTTATTAAATGATAATGAATTTATTGTCAACAACCATTATATGGTTGATGACGTCAATGATAAAGAAGAAACAGCACCAACGAAAAAATATACAAAGCATCAACAACGATCAGTACTAGCTCGACATAGAAGAAATCAACGAAGAAACAAAGCACTTAAAAGAAAACGATATTATTATTCAATTAAACGTAAATGGTATCCTCGTTTTACAATGTTAATCATCCGAAAAATCCTTCGTTTACATAATATTGATTATACACATGTTAGAGAAGATGGAGACAAATTACTAATCGGATTGAAGAATCAAGAAAGCGAAAAAACAGCTGAACATCAACTGCCAAGCAACATCTTCAACAGACAGAGCTATTTTCATTATCGAAAATTATTTCGATGATGGTGTTCCTGTTGGTGATTATAAAAAAAAAAAAGAAAAATTTTTTTTGTTTTTTGTTATTATTATTATTTTTTTTCCTTCTTGTCTTTCATTTCATTTCATTTTGTATTGTTATATTCTGGTCAGTTTTTCTCTCTCATATTTCATGTACTGTTACTATTTTGTTGTTACATTTTCTCATATAAAAAAAAAAAAAAAAAAAAAAAAAAGTATTTTTGTAACCAAAAAACTTTTTTCTTGGGGGGTAAGGGTGTTACATCCTGCCATCTATGTAGTTAGTTATAACTCTTTCGTGTTTGTGATTGTCTCTCTCTCTCCCTTGTTATTCTTTTGTTATATATATTAGTGAAAGAGAAATAAAACAGTTAGTTATGCTTTAACCAAACGAACTCGAACGTCTTTTATTCTCTATATAAAATAAAGCATAACAGAATTATATGCATGTTTTAAGGGACAATTATTCACGAATAAGTGAAATTCTGTCATTAGACAGCTTTTTCTTGCAAAAAGTGTTCATTTCGGTCTCTTCGTGTTTTGAAATTTATAATGCCGTGATAAATGTATAACGAGTGGTAAAAGAATTCCATCCAAATACAATCTAATATTATAGATATATAAGTTATTGTAGAAAAAATTGGACAAATTATGAATTTTTTTGCGAGTTCCGTTATTATCAAGGCTGCTGTACTAAGTAAAGGCACTGGTAATGCAAATTCATAGACAAAGCTTATTAGACTAATGTTCCATCCCATGTAAAAAGGTTAATTCTTCTATCTGGGAAATGAAGAAACAATAAGGCTTATCTTTCCTTTAGGTGCATTCCAAAAACGAGGATAAATTGAAATTCATTGAAGTACAATATTATCGCCAACGAATATTTTCACATGTGAATAAATTATATTAAAGAAATTTTTTATGGCATGGCGAATCTTGAATCATTTTTAAAAACTTCTTTTAAAAGCTAGAAGATTGTAGAGCAACGTTCACAATATTAAAACTTTTCTTCATAAACTTATAATGGCTTATGTATGGCAATACAGACATAAGCTTTGTTGAAATAGATAATATGAAATACATTCTAGAGATATAATTTACAGTATTGAGTATGTAAACGACAATCTCATAATTAAAAATTTGACGAGGCGTTTGTATCGAAATTTCATTCCTTATTTCCCGATAGTAGTATACGATTTACTTAAACTATGCACAATTGTCAAGGAATTTTCAAAATAAGATCATTAAAAGACATATGTCCTTTGAAGGTCTACAAACTAATGATATAATCAAAACTCACATGAGACATCCTATGTACTTTGATTCACTATGCAAATATGTTCGTACTCACCATAAGGAATAAGTCGAGAATTTACCAGATGCAGGTGACCTCTATTTTCTCTAATGTCTATTTGTTCAACAATTATTTTGCGGAACTAGTTCGAAATATTTGAATAAAATTATTCTAAATTGATATTTTCAAAATTAAAATTATTTTAATGGTATGTTTATAGTAATTGTTTCTATTCTGAATCTAATATTGACAAATGTCTCTTCAGAACCTTTCTTTTGATACTTCCATCTTACCAGATGATATACTTTCGTTTTGTGACGAAGATTTTTACAAAGTGGTTGAAAAAATTGCTGGATCAGCTGAAGCTACACTATTACAAATTCAAGGAATTCGAAGTGTATATTCGTTTCTCAATATAGAAGACGTATTTGCTGTTCTTTCAATTTCATGTTCGGCTTTAAATGATATTAAAAGACTTGTTTGCTTTGAAGCCGACGATCACACTTACACAGTAAAACCAGGTTGTCGTGCCAATATTCGATACCTTTATCAGCTTCTTTATCAAAAACATGAAGTACATCTTAAAGAACAAACATTAAAATATAAACGAAAGAAACCATCACAACTCGTGGACAATAATCATGGTCTTCAAGATATTTTTCAAGATTTATCTGAAACTGACTTGCCATCAACTATTCCTCAACATTCTTCAACACAAACAGGTTAGATGTTAATCTAAATTTAATTTTAAGCTCTGTATAAATGACTGGAATATTTCATGTTCATATGATTACATACTACATAACAGATTATAAAAAAAAACATTATGCTATATGTTACTGAGGACTGTCAAATCACTTAATCTAGAGATCTATATTTTAAAAGTAGTATTGGTATGACGCCATTAATTTTTAGAACGAAAGATGAACTAAAAATCCTTTATTAAATAATATCCAAGGTGAAAGATACTCGTTTATCTCCTTGATGATTAATCCAGATTCGAATTGTTTTTTTATTATATATAACTAATATGATTTAATATTTCGAATCTTTATGTATAACGGCGTGAGAAAAAGTAATCATTATTGTAAACATCTGAACGTTTTTGTTTATTTAGCTTCTACAGATAACATCAATCATCATGAAGCAATTGTTTGCATGCTAAACGAATGGTTTGATAGAAACCAACAAGTCATGAATCTTGAAGGTTGTAAATTAATTGAAAATGAAGATTTTCGATTTTTCATCGTCTCCAATGAGACGAACAAAAATGCATTTATATCTTGTTCATGTGGCATTAAAGTACAACTTACAAAACTTCGTCAAAGTTTCTCGTTAAGTAATTATTACAAGCATATCAAGTCTAAAAATTGTAGGATGATAATGAAGAAAAAAAAGATTACTGTTAGTTTGAATGATGAATCCACTATATTCAATGAAACTCAATCTTTAGATGATGAAGTATCACAAGATATCTCAATGACTGACATAGCACAAATATCGGATTCAAGTATTATTATTGCTGATACAGTCAACAACGAGAAATCTTGGAAACGACCCAGTGATACACAAAATAAACTTTTAAATAAAAAACAACGAATTAGAAACTGAACATTTCATGAATTTTATTAGACTCAAGTTCCAGTGGAAAATATTCATTGATTTTAATCAGATTTTTCTGCAGCAAAAATCAAAATTAAAAACGATTGATAATTTTGATTATCGTTGATCATGAATTAACTATAATTTGATATTATTACTTATCCAGTGCGAAATTTTCTGATTGAAATCGGATTATTTTGTAGAAAAATTGAAATTATAAATAGATTTACAATCTTGATTTTGCTGCAAAATAATTTGATTTTAATCAGAAAATTTCACACTGGATAAGTAATAATATCAAATTATAGTTAATTCATGATCAACGATAATCAAAATTATCAATCGTTTTTAATTTTGATTTTGTTGCTGAAGAATCCGATTAAAATCAATGAATATTTTTCACTGGGGTTATATTGAAATAGGCAACATGTTATAATATATTTTCATATTTTAGTATTTTATTTATGTATTAGATGTTTTAAACTTTCTCTTAATTTTGCTTTTATACTCGAATAAAATTATATAAAATATATAGCTCAACTAATAATCAACTTTTTAGAGTTCATGATCAATAATGACATTTTCCAATGCAGTAGGCAAAACATATGATTATCAGTGAAATGTTGGATTACCCCATATAGGATAACTTGTAAAAAATTTCTAGCATTTCTTTTATGTTCATAATCGAATTTGTTGATATTTTATTCTTTTTCTCTTACGACTGCCGAGGTGTGAACTTTCAACAGTTCATTGAATCGGACTGAAAAAAACTTGAAGCATTGAAATAGAACAAATGCTCGAATATAAACACATGTTTCTTTCTCTTGTCACGCTACAAATTTGATTACTTCGTTCTCTCTATTGGCGCACACATATATAAATATTCTTATACATATATTCTCATACACATATTCATATACTATATATCTCTATACGCTTATTCTCATACACATATTCATATACTATATTTTTATACATATACTATATATCTATATACACTTATATACTGTAGTCTCATACACATATTTACATACTGTAGTCTCATACACATATTTACATACTCTATTCTTATACATTTGTTCTTATATACATATTCATATACATATTCATATACATATATTGTTTTACTTGATCTTATATTATACTCTTATACTATATTCTTATACATATACTTATTTATATACATATTCATATACTATACTCATATACTATATATTCCTACACAAATACATATATTCATATTCATATATAGGTATATATAAAATTACGTTGCTTAAAGTCACAATTTTTCAATAACTCACATTCGTATTGCATAAGTTCCTATAAACTAACACGGAATTACATGAAATAATTCTTTTTTACTTTCTAGGGTTCGGCTAAAAAATGTTACGAAATTTTCCATCACTTGTTCTACCTGAAAATGTTCTTACGTTTGAAGGAGAAAAGTTTTTCAAGCTAGTTAATCAAACATGTGGAGAAGTTTTTAAAGAATTGATGGAAGCACTTTCGATCAATACTGTCTATAAGTTACTTTTGGTTGAAAATGATATTCTTTCTATTTTTGAAAAAAAATATAAAGAATTAGAAAACATAACACAGAAAGCTTGTCTTCATCTTAATGATGGTACTATTATGCTCAAGCCAGGGCTACGCTTGGACTTTGATCGTTTTATGCAAGCACTTCATACCATCAACAATCAGACTCAGGAACAAACTGCCAACTTGAATAATGTTTTCTTTTCTTCATTTCAAAAGTTCATAGAATCTTTTCGATTAAATGAAGATGAGGATTCAAAAAATACTTATTCTTTTCTCATAAATTTTATTGAAAACATTTTCAATAACCTTACGAGAAACAAAAATAACTATCGATATAGTGAAGTGGTGCAACATTTTGCCCAGTCATTATACATTTTAGGCGGACGAAATGTTTATGAATTTGTTCGAATGAATCTGCCAGGCGCTATTCCCGCTATATATACTTTAGAAGATAGTATTGGGAAAGCTGGTGGATTTATTGAAGAAGGTGCATTTCGATACGATATGCTTAACGATCATCAAAACTCAGGCGGCTATCAAATAGCCATTTGTTCTGAAGATTGCACTGCAGTTATTAAAAAGGTCGTCTATAATGCTGCTACAAATACATTTACTGGGTTTTCGACCCCGCTAGTAAATGGTATTCCTGTTACTCGTTCTTTTCAAACAAATTCATTTGATGAATTGAAAGCTTGGTTTGAAAATAAAGATAGAGCAGAATACCTAAATATTCATATGATTCAGCCACTTGTAGCTTTTAATCCATATTCGTCACCATTTCTTTTGGCTGCATATGGTATTAATAATAATTTTAAAGCTACTGATGTTCTTAACCGGTGGATTTGGGCATTTGAAAAATCTAAAAAGTCGAATGTTAGAATTGTTGCATTTGCAACTGATTGTGATCCTAGATACCTCCTTTCAATGCGTCTTGCTACAGGTTTCTTTGCAAAATGTCTCAACACTTCGATATGTAATAGAAACGATGTACTAGACATCGATTTACCGAAAAACTGGTCGTTTTGGTTTTTCATGCGAAATCGACAGCTTTTTCTTTGCTTTCAGGATCCAACACACTTGTGTACAAAACTCAGAAATCGCATCCTGTCAAAGAAAGCAAAAATGCTAATTGGAAAGGAACAAGTTTCTATTGAAGTATTGATTGAATTACTAGAAACTAAATCAAAGTTTGTACATGGTCTTGTTAAGACAGATATAGAATCGAAAGATCGGCAAAATTTTACTTCCTGCCTAAAACTTTCAAGTAATGATGTACTCACTGCTCTAGAAGATATTAATAATTCTAAAGCTACTCAAGTTTATTTACGGCTTTTACGCTCTATTGTGATCGCATATATAGAGCATGATACATCAATCATCGATCGTATTTATCATGGTTGGTTTGCAGTATTTCTTTGTCGTATCTGGCAAACTTGGTTGGGAATAATCGATGATACATACATTTTAGAATATGGTGCTAATAATAAAAAAGACTTGTTCATAACAACTCCAGCCCATTTTTCGATCGAACTGAATGCACATAGTTTGCTTGCAGTTTGTCTTCTTGTATCTCAACAAAAATTACCTCATTCGGCTCTATCAATATCAAATTACAGTTCTCAACCATGCGAAGCTACTTTCAGACTCACCAGATCGATATCTGGTGTGTTCTCGTCAGTAGTAAATTTTACAACTGATCAGTTTCTTAAAAGAGCTGGTAAACTTTCTGTTCTAACAGATATAGAGAATAAAAGTGAATCTGGGCTTCTAGAATGTTCACTACAATTTCCGAAGCATCATAAAAGAAGGAAAGCTAATGCTAAGAAAACTTCAGCTTCTAATAAAATTGTAGATCTTCCATCATATGATACTATTGAAAATATTATTCATCGATCTTTTAATGATGCATATAATGTCCTTTCTCAACTCGAAATGAATACTGTTTTACAGAGAAAGAAAAAAACAACAATATTTGAAGTGAGCTCGTTTACACGAAGCCAATTCGAAAAGAAATCTAAAATAGTTTCGTACGATGAATATGAAATTTATTCATCTGATGATGAGTCAAATGATGAACCTGATGCTGATGTCAATTTATCATTGAAAGACGACGAGGAGAATTCATCTGAAGATGAAGATAATTTATCATCTATTTCAGCAAGTGGTAAATGTCAATTTCGTGGAATGCGAGTGACAGATACGATTCCACCTTCATTGTCGAAGTCTTATTTTTGTGTTGAGATTGATAAAAAAAAGAAATTTATGCATAAACAAACAGCTTGCTGGCTTTTGACTGATAACAAAGCTGCTTTATCTTCAGATAGATTAATACGTGTTCAACAATCAAATCGGTAGGCCATCAATCAATTATATACGATATTATACATAAATCTATCAAGTCACGTCTTTATTATATGATCAAATTTCTTTTTTTTGTTGTTTTTTGTTCTTATCTGAAATTTCTGTTTTCATTTGTTCTGTGCTCTTATCTAAAATTTCTTTTTTTTACTTATTCCTTGTTCTTATGTCATATTACATGATCTTTTTACTATGTACAATGCTCATCAAATTTCTTTTCTTTTTTTGTGTTCTTTGTTCTTATCTGAAGTTTCATTTTTTGTTACTTTGCCTTTGTTCTTATTTGACATCTACTTTTCTTTAATAAAATAAATAAAAATAAAGTGCTCTAGGGTCCCAGTAGACTCAATACCCACATTTCAAGTGACGTGTTCAGGCTGCTGACGATGATAGATTGTTTTTATTTACTAATTTCTTATGGGCAATATTTATGATTGATGAATTTCTTTGAATAAATAAAACAAACAACATCATAACGTGATAATTGAAAGACACCTTAAATATCGATAAATGCAAGACTAAAAAAGAGTTCCGTCAATTCCATTAAAATTCTAAGACTCCTGTGTGAATCTGAAAAATCCAATAAAAATCTCAAGAATCCAATAAAAATCCCAAAAATCCCACGATAATCCCAAGAATCCCATGATAATCCCAAGAATCCAAAGAATTCCGTCAAAATCCCAAAAATCCCGAGAATCCAAATCCGCCGTTTCCCCCTTGGGTAACTATTTTAAATAGTTATATATTTAATTAGAAAATACATCTTTTCGGAAACTATCGTCAATTGAATTATTTTTTATCATTGCAGAAGTGTTTCATATGTTTCTATGCAATATGTCACTATTGCATAATATTTAACATTCGTTTATTTGTTTTAATACCTCAAACTCGTATTTTGCTACTATTAATTTTAGACTATTCTCTCTAGATTTTCAATGGTGATGGAATGAGAGAACACAATTGATTTTTTATTTTTCTATGAAAGTATTCCCAATATTGTCGTGACTTTTTGAGATGAAACAAAATACAGTTCCTGTAATTTTTTACGCTAGTTCTAATGAATCTTCTAGTAATTGAATTCAGTTGTCATATCCTTTTCTACAGCTATTTTCAATTATTTATTGGCATATTTCTGCATTGTTGTCCGAGAAATACAAATCTTTTGGTTCAATTAATTTTTTTCTCTTTCATTATTTTGTAATATTTGAAATGATTTCTCAATTATATCGAACCATTGAATTCAAGTTTACTTTGCTCTTATATTTTGAACTGCATCAATATCCAGTCAGACAAAAATTTTGAAAAACGCGTTGAAACGCACAATCGGGAACCGCGATTGTAAGCCATTAACGCTCATTAAAAGAACGCACGAAAACGCTTTGGTTGGCGTTTTTTGTAACTTTATGGGCGTTAAAACGGCGAAAACTCCAATTTTGGAGCGTTAAAACGTATTATTTTTAAGTTCTAGAATAATAGTGCGTTTTAACGCTCAGAAACGGGAATTGTCGCCGTTTTAACGCCCATGAAGTTACAAAAAACGCCAATAAACGCGTTTTCATGCGTTTTTTTAATGAGCGTTAATGGCTTACAATCGCGGTTCCCGATTGTGCGTTTAAACGCGTTTTTCAAAATTTTTGTCTGACTGGGTAATAGAAGTTGTTTTTGATAGACATCGAAGAAAATAGTTCATTTTAGTCTCTTTTATTTTTCTTGTTCCGATATTCGCCACGGATTTTAAAGCAGCAAAAACATGAGAAAAAAGGCACTTGCATTTTTCGAATACATTTCTTCAATTTTGTTTTTTTGTTATTTTTCCTCTTCAACAAAAATGAATAGACAAATAGATGAACATAGTTCGGTCGACTCTTTTTCTCCTGGTTCCCATATTTTCTTAAGATTTGAGAGAACTGATGACATGATATAAAAAAGACGTTTTTCCTTTTCTCTAAGAAATTGTTTCAAATTTTTTTCTTTTTTTGTTTCAGCAAAAAATAACAGAAATGCAAAAACATAATTTAGTTGACTTTTTTCCTTTTGTCGATACTTGCTGACGAATAAATGAAATCGACAGGATGATAAAAAAAGCTTCTTTTCTTTTTCTAATATATTGTTTCAAATTTTTATCATCTTTTTCCTCGACAAAAATAAACACTCAAATAAAGAGCGATAGTCCAGTTCATTCTTTCTTTTCTTAGACTGTTGAAGTGGATTCATCTATCCGTCAGTGTTTTCTTCAACGACATTCATAACTTCTAACATAGGTAAAACTCTTCGCACGCGTTGAATTATTAGCAATACATAAAAACTATTTCATCCATAATTTTCAGTTGCTAATCAGAATAATAATAAGATGAAATCAAAGCAAGTTTGACGAAAGAATGTATGCGAATGTATATAGAAGGATTTATCACGATTAGTTATTATAGACTCGAAAGTTTATTATTCACAAGTAAAATAGAGCTTCGTACAATATATCGAGTATTGAAACGTCGTCTTTCTTTAGAAATGTCATCGTTTCATTTTAGATATGTGCTTGTTGAGAACTGATAAGCTAAGTTGAAACTGTATACTTTTAGTATTCTATGAATCGTAAGTTGGCATAAAATATAATTGGGGTGTGGGTGTGGGTGTGGGTGTGGGTGTGGGTGTGGGTGTGGGTGTTGGTGTGG